GTCTCCTGAAACCAAACAGAATATTGAAATAGCAGTTTACAAAACAAGCTCGAAACAGTTGTACTTTTCATCAGCCCAGTCTCAAATATGGAACCAAATTACAGTGCCAAAGTAGACAAAAATTCTAGCTCAATCTAACAGCCAGTTTTTCTTCATCTAAAGAAATTACTTTGAAATGGAGATAAGATCTTGAATTAATAATTATTTTTTTAAAAAAAAGTTATTTGAAGGGCTCACTTTTTTTGTGGTCTGTTTAATTTTATAGGTCAAATTTCTTGGGACATAAAGGGGAAGTGGCTGAAGAGTTTGGTGTAATAATGAAAGCTTTATGGACAGGACAGTATAAATATATCAGTCCAAAAGACTTTAAAATTACAATTGGGAAGATTAATGACCAATTCGCAGGATATAGCCAACAGGACTCCCAAGAGTTGCTTCTCTTTCTAATGGATGGCTTGCATGAAGACCTAAATAAGGTAAGCAATATGCTTGTAACAAATTACACATCTGTCAGATGATCAAGAGAAATTTTTAAAACACCCTCTTATTTCCTAAGAAGATTATGTTACTGGAACCTTATGTAGAAGAGTATTCAGAATTAAAGTAGGAATTTAGTTTGAAATAGTATAAGGTGCTGAAGGGAGTAATGGAAGAAGGCTGCCTAGGTAAGAAATAGATTATTATTCTTACAAATACTCAATAGTGTGTTTGCTTATAGAGGAGACTTCCTATTTTTATATATGTTAATATATGGCAATGGTATTTCAACTTCTGTTATCCAGGCTGACAACAGAAAAAGATACAAGGAAGAAAACAATGATCATCTTGATGACTTCAGAGCAGCAGAACTAGCCTGGCACAAACACAAACAGCTCAACGAATCCATTATTGTGGCTCTCTTTCAAGGCCAGTTCAAATCTACAGTGCAGTGTCTTACGTGTCACAAGAAGTCCCGAACCTTCGAGGCTTTCATGTATTTGTCATTACCACTTGCATCCACTAGTAAATGTACACTGCAGGTATGGTGGAACTAGAAGGAAACAGTTCTTGAAGTAAAAAAAAAAAATCATTTCCCTGTGACTCATTATGATGTTGCTTCTGCTAAGCCTCGTGGTGAAGGGGTTGGTCAGTATTCCAGCTTAATTTACATAAGATGAAACATGAACACATCTGAGTCGTTGCTATTTTTTTAATTCTTCTAAAGTTTTAAAAAATAGGTCATTCCTTCAAAGTTTTGAAATACAAGCAGGATGGAAATAGTGAAGCCACGGTATCAGAAGTGTATAGTATTTGCTTTTGTAGGTTGTAGTACAATTACTGTGTTTTTAAATGAAGCATCATAAGTACATTTTGAAGGCATTGCAGCTAATTAATATATGCAGTAAAATCTACTTCCACACATAGATTTAACTCACTTTTCCTCATTTTTGTGAAACATGGCACACAGATAATCGATGCAGGCTGATAACCAAATAGGAAACTATTTTTGCTACGCTTTCTTAAAAACCTGCTCATCACAATTTGTGTTTTGTATTTTGTTTTAGGAATGCCTTAGATTGTTCTCCAAAGAGGAGAAGCTCACTGATAACAATAGGTTTTACTGTAGCCATTGCAAAACTCGAAGGGATTCTTTGAAAAAAATAGAAATTTGGAAATTACCACCCGTTCTTCTTGTGCACTTGAAACGGTAAGAGAAACAGTGACTGGTAAAAATTCATTAGGTTGAAGTGACCAGGCTTTGATGGAGGTTGATTGTTCCAGTGCAATAGCTAGCCCTTCTTAATTAGAGAAAGTGCCAGATGTATTTCCAGTTGTACTGCTGCAAGAATTTATTTTCATCTGATGCCTCTTATTAGGCTGTAGTTCTCAAAGCCCTTTTACAAGTAATCTCTTTTCATTTGTGCTAAGAAACACATGTGCAAGCATTAACAAAATTGGGGGCCAAGTGCTTTAGTTGAGGTTATGTCCTGGACAAAAGCAGGGAAGGGAAACACAATATTCATAGATAGCTTGTGAACAACCTGTAACCTTTAATTATGCTTTTTAATTCTCTAGATTTTCCTATGATGGAAGATGGAAGCAAAAGCTTCAAACTTCTGTAGATTTCCCATTGGAAACTCTTGACCTCTCACAGTATGTTATTGGTCCAAAGAATAACTTGAAGAGATACAATCTGTTTTCAGTATCAGTAAGTAACCACCTCACGTTTCAAAGTTCAGTTGGTCTTTATGCCAAGGCTTGGCTTAGCCTTTGGGATTCATCTAGATTTCCAGGGTGCCTACCTGGTTGCAGATTGAGTTGTATTCTAAAAAAAAAAAAGTTAATGGTATTTAGTAAAAATCTCACATTCTAGTTTATTTTCCTAACCAGAGAAGAAATGGCAGCTTTTGAGGCCATTAACTCTTTTCCTTCTTATGTTTACAGAATCATTATGGCGGGTTGGATGGAGGGCACTATACAGCCTACTGCAAAAACGCTTCCAAACAACGCTGGTTTAAGTTTGATGACCATGAAGTATCTGAGATCTCAGCATCATCTGTGAAATCCTCAGCTGCTTATATTCTCTTTTACACTTCTTATGAACAGCGAGCAGTGGATATGGCCACATAAAGCAGTGTGGGTTAAGAAAACTGGTTACAAGAGCAAAGTAGGTATGGGAATGCATTTAAATATGCAAAACTAGGACAAACAGTCACAGATCTGGGGATGGTCACAGCAGCTTTTCTGCAAGCAAGCGCTTTCTGGTCAGTACTAGTGCTTAAAAATCAGAAGACTGATTAATAATGCTTGTGGTAATACTGCCATCTGTGAAAACATTTAAAAAGCATATTTGCATTACCATTTATTTAAAAAAAAAAAACCTATATTTTTAGTCTGCTCCAAAATTAAATTCTAGCTTAGTCATCTGAAATCTATTAACAAGTAGTTTAAAATGTCTTAAAATCCCAAGGCATATCTTGATTTTTAAAATTTTTTTCTTTCACTGTTATGGCCTTTTCACATTTCTAACCTTAAGCTTGATTCTACTGTGAATACTCTAGAACGATGTAAACAGTTAGGAATGTAAGTGTACATATTGATTGCATACTTGCACATCAGAACTATGTATATAATAAACAGTTGTCCTTTTTGTGAGAATCTAAAACTCAGAGGATTGCGTTTATTTGCCAGCTCTGAGTAATTGCAACACTACTTAATAAAAAAGCAGAGCTGTATTTTTTTTTTTCTGTTGGCTTTTGTCAATATTTGTGCACTTCAGAGTTATTCTAAACAAACAAGATTTTCCTTTTTAATTTTTTAATATAAATTTTCATGTACACATGCATTAAAAACCTTAATGAAGAAATTATTTAAAAATATATCCTGTTAAATGTATATTTGGGTTTGGTGTTTTCATTCTCAAGCAGCTTGTGTGATGGTCAGGATTCTACATGATGACAGTCCCTGAATCATGTTCACACAGTTTAAAGGTTCTTCAGATGAAAAAAATACCACTTTGTGTAGAACTGATTAGTTTCCAGACTATTTAGTTGCATCTTGTGCACTTCCCTGCTCTGGATTTGGGTTAGTTTTCCTTCTTCAGAATATCAAATCTTAGATTCTGAGCTCTTACCTGTCTACATGTGCATGTGTTGCTGGTAGAATTATGATCAGGAGTGATTCTCAGTAGCTTACAAGCTGCAAACAAGTTTGCAGTGCTAGAGGGGCAAAAAATGGCAGTACTAGAATAATGCCTTTTTCTTTCTCTTTTATTAACGGTCACTTCATGCCCTCCTCTCTTCTGGAACACCTGCCCACAGGGGTCTGGTCGTATGCTCTCACCTCGGTATCCTGCAGTCCTGGCTGGAGGCCAGGTGCCCCCCAAAGCTGCTCTGTCGCTCCCCTCCTCACCTGGGCAGGGGAGAGAGAATGTAACCAAAGGCTCCTGGGTGGAGATAAGGACCAGGAGGTCACTCACCACTTACCATCATGGGCAAAACAGACTCGCCTTGGGAAAAGTAATGTACTGCAAACCAAAGAGAAATAAAACAAATCTTAAAACACCTTCCCCCCACCCCTCCCTTCCTCCCAGGCTTAACTTTACTCCTGATTTCTCTACCTGCTCCCCCTGAGTGGTGCAGAGGGGGCCAGGGAAGGGGAGTTGTGGTCAGTTACCACCCATCATGTCTGCTGCTCCTTCCTCCTCAGGTGGAAGCTCCTCACACTCTTCCCCTGCTCCAGCGTGGATCCCTTCCACGGGGTCACAAGTGCTACCAGTGAACCTGCTCCAGCATGGGCTCCTCTCTCCACGGGGCCACAGCTCCTGCCAGGAGCCTGCCCCAGCGTGGGGGTCACAGCCTCCTTCAGGCACCCACCTGCTCTGTGTGGGGTCCCCCCGGGCTGCAGGTGGGTCTCTGCTCCCCCGTGGACCCCCATGGGCACAGGACACAGCTGCCCCACCATGGGCTGCAGGGGAATCTCTGCTCCAGCCCCTGAAACACCTCCTGCCCTCCTGCTCCACTGACCTTGGGGGCTCCAGAGTTGTTTCTCTCACATATTCTCACTCCTCTCTTCAGCAGCAATTACTATTGTGCAGGTTTTTTATTCTCCCTTATTAAATATGTTATCCAGAGGTGCTACCACCATCGCTGACAGGCTCAGCCCTGGCTAGCAGCGGGTCCATCCTGCAGCCACCTGGCGTTGGCTCTATGGGACACAGGGGAAGGAACCACCCCTGTAGCCCCCCACTACCAAAACCTTGCCACACAAACCAAATACAACAACATAATACACTTAACTAACAGAGAAACAGGAATTTTTGGTTAAGTATATCAATATGCTCAGCATTTGTGTTCTCTTGAGGGATGCATGAGGTTTCTCACAGAAAAACCAACCCATTAGACCAAATGGAGCAGATGTACATTCTTTAACAGGCTTGGGAGCTGTAACTCCTCTCTCAAAATTACTTCCTGAAAGACCCCAACAGATAACCAGTAATACAAATGCTCTAGTTTATTGATGAAACAAGACTTGGCTAATGCCACTGAATTCTAATTGCTGGCCTACTCCTTCTTCATTTTCCACGGGTAGCAGATTTTTAATGGGTGTAGAGAAGGCCGTGCGAGGTGTAGAACAGGAGATAGGCTGTGTCAGTCTGCACTGAGGAATCTGGGATCTCGGTGATCCGTGCATCATCAAAGCTGTACCAGTTTTTGGTGACTGGGTGCTTGCAGAACGCCGTGTAGTGGCCGTTGTTCAGAAAACCAGAGTGATTCTGTAACGAACAAAACCATTTGTTTTAACTTCTGTTAAAAAAGAAGTATCTCTCTCTTTCTCCTTACCAGGCAAAGCTTGGAACTGGCAATCATTTTTTGTTTGCACTTGGAAATGATGGGAGAGAAGATTCTAGCCACCTTTGGCCTACAGAAAGGAATGGTAATTCCTCAAATAAATGCTTTAAAACAGAGCCATTCTAAACAGATGATGATTATGCTTTTCTATTGCAATATTTTGCAACCCAGCAATTAGCCCTGATACGGGTCACTATAAGCAGGCCCCGCTCGCAGTGAGCGATGCAAAAAGAGACCATTTTGTCCTTATTTATAAACAGGATCTGTGCAGGGTCAGCTTGTGAGTTTATGCTAAAAAAGCTGAGGAGGCTCCAAGCCAGGTGTTACCTGCCAGGAGTGAATGCTTTTTAAAATGGGGATGGGGGGAGGAAGGAGCGAGGAGTGGTAACTTCTCTCTTCTTTGATTACGTACTGTTACTGGATTATGTTCATGGCAGGTAAAAAAACTCTGTATGAAAAGCATCTATATAGATACAAAAAATATAAATCCTATCTATAAAGTCTAAACTAACACAGGTTTCATCTGCTCCATGAAGCAGGGCATTACAAGTAAAAGCAAGAAAGGCAGAGCTCACCACTACAGCACACAAGCTGTATTCTTCATTCTTGTAGAAAAGAGGGGAACTGTAGGGAGAGAGGTCCAGATTGCTGAGCGGATAGCAGATGTCAGTTGAGAGTTTCCTTTCGCCCCAGTCTTGCCATTCAAACCTGAAATAAAATTTTTAAACTATTTTAAATAACTCAGCTTCTTTCTTGCATTGTGGTGGTTGCTCAGCTGACTACCCAGTCTTTGGAAAGAGAAAGATCTGTATTCATGTTGAGTATTACAGTAAATTGACAGAAAATGCACTAAATTCAGACATCCAGAAAGAAAAGCAAAGCTCTTGCTTCCTGATCCTTCTGTCTATTAGAAACGGACACAGGTGCCAAGAGCAGCCAGAATTCAGGACTCTGCATCCTTCTCACTGTGTCCTAAATATTTTGGACTGCACTGCTGTTGTCAGCTCTTCTTTTGTGCCAGGCTCCCTCCCTTTCTCCCCTGTAACTTCTGGTACAACACTATCCTTCTAAACATTTATAGCGTGGCCAAGGGCTGCAGCTGGGGATCGCAAGTTCCTCTGAGCATGTCAAGGTAAGCAGATGCTGGATGGGAAATTAAATAATAACTTTACATAACATAGTTTGGGGAAACTAAGTCATCCCAGAGTAATTTTCTTTATAGGTAGGAAGTTGTTAAGAATAAATTCTTGAGAATAAATCTAGCATCTGGCCACATGTGGCCTGTGAAGTCTGCTAGTCAGGAGCTCTTACACCGATGCACTTCTCCATGTAGTAGACCCAGCTGATTAGACCTGATGTAGTTAAGGCATAAACAAAAATACAGGGCCTCAGCTGCAATAATGACCAGCAAAACACCCTGTTTCAGTCCTGCACTTAAAATTCAAATCACAATCCCAGTTGCCAGAGGAACCTGTATTCGCAGGGATATCTGACCATATGAACCACTGCACTCGTTTTTCTTCCCTTTGGAAGAGATCCCAAATACAGTGAGTGATATTCGGTGGGCTGCAGAACACCTTGTCAGAGGTTTCAGGAATGCAACTTGCGTGTTTGACAGGTATATTTCTGTAACTGCTCATTTAGCTTCCAGGTATCTAAAGTACTAAACCCACTCATTTGCAGCATTTTTTTTCCCCTTTTATGCAAATGCAAGTGAACGTCCTTATAGTCTCACAAATCCCAGGAAAGAGCCATGTCCTACCCTATGTAGACTGTACCTCTTTAGGTGAAAAATAATGATCTGTGGTGCCTTGGTTATGGTGGCCTTTACTACAGCATCTTGTTTTGTTCCACACCAGGAACAGTAGATTTGGTTGTTCCAAGTCAGTGTGTCTTGCTGAAAGAAGCATTCGAGACAGTCCTGTCAAAGGAAAAAACAACAACAACAAAATCATTTGATCAAACAGATCTCCACCCTGAAGATCCTAAGCAAGGTAAGAGAAGGGTTTGCCATATTTTGGGGCTCTCTTCCTAATCAAAGCATGATGTAGCAAGGCTGACATTACAAATATTCTTGGAATACAAAGCAGCCAACGTTGGCTTCCTTTTTCCCCCCTCAAATGAGGGAATACTTGGATGAGTTAAAGAAACCCTCACAGTTCTGTTGATCAATCTTAATATCCCTCATCCCATGGCAACTCAGGAGCGTTGCTCCCATAACCTTACCAGCCTCTGCGGTCCAGAGACCAGTACAGAAACCCCACTGCTCCTAGGACCGGTTCAAAGAGTGCCCAGGAAACCAAAGTAACTAAAATCCTGCATCTTCAATAACACATATTGGTCTAAGCTACCTATTCCCACAAGAAGCAGAAACCAGCAGGAATGTATCAGAAGTCGCACCTGCAGAGAGCACGCACTCTTGGAAGGGATGGGCAGGGAAAGAACAGTGAAGCTCTCGGGTCTATTAGTGGTGCTCTTGCATTTCAGACATGTGATCTCATAGCTGAGTTGTCCCTCAAATAACTGTGTGATAATAGATGTTTCACTGACACTCCCTCCGCTTGCTTTTGCATTGGTTATGCATCTTCTTTTGCTTGACTATACAGAAGAAGAACAAAAATTAACAACATGCAGTTAACAATAGTTTCGGGAGTACCTTCACTGGGTTTTAATGGTTGCTGCCCCCTGCCTGTGCAACTTGGCTCTAAAATGCTGTTACTTTATTTGATGTTTCATACGTGCAGAGTAAGCTAAATTCCTGAGAAAAAATAAATAAAAATATAATATTCTGGACATTAGATGGAAGTGATTTAATTGCTAGTCAAACTATCAGTGGATCTGAAGAAGAGAAAGGCAGACATGGGAACATGGCAGACATGAATATTTCAGGCAGATAAAAAAAGGGAAGAATATAAAGCATGGAAAGAGCAGAGAGGGAGAGGTGAGGATAATGAAGCTGCAGGCAGCATTATCACTTAGATGGGGGCTGCAAATTTGACGTAGCATTAGACAAGAAGCAAATGAACTGTGGTGTGTACATGGGCATGAAACAAAGGGAGAAAATTACAGGTTTTGACAGTTACATCACGTTGCTCAGAAGAGGTGGACGGGCAATTATTACATGGAATGCTAAACCACAGAATGCAAAGAGGAAACAGCTACAGTCCCCAAAGCACCAGAGCTGGGCTCTTACCTTCTTGAGAGCCTGGTGAAGCTCATCCAGCACACAGATCAGAAACTCCTGTGCATCCTCCTGAGTCCTCTTGCTAAAAGTTGGGTACTGCTTCCCAAGGACTGAATAAAAAACCTCTGGGGAAACAGAGTCAAACTCTCCACGCCACATATCAGATATCAAAGAGCCAAAGGCAGCTGCAGACTCACTGTTCTCACTTGGAAAAAATAAACAAGAGTTTCAGGTAAAGCATGAAAAGACGGTGGCTCTACCTTCAAATGGGAGCATAATATAGAAAGTTAGAAAATATGCACAGATACGCTACAGCTCTGACAGCCTGTCATTGGGTTTGAGGGACTCTGCAGGTTCTGGAAAGTAGTAGGAATCACCACTGAGACAGCAGTGACAGGAACTGGTATAACCATCAAAATGACAAAGAAAAAAGGTATAATCCTTCAGTTACCCAGCAAGGAAACCACTCAGGGTCTCAGAGGAAGGAGGAGGAAACCAGCCTGTGGTGTGACTGTAACTGCCTGGTGGGGAGCTGGCAGGTGGCTGCCTTGGCCATTCTCATGGCAACACGTATCCTTCGGAAGGAAAACGGCAGCGCCACGCAGAAAAAGATAAGTAGCATGAATAAATCAACTTACTTGTGTAGGGCTGCTTGGTAATTTCCTGAGAGAAAATACTCAACGAGTGGTGGCACGCTGCAGAGGCACTGCAAAATTGCGTTCATGTAGCAGGTGTTGCCCAGATTCCTCAGGCCAGTGAGCCCAGGGTGCTGGATGTTCATCTCCTCCATCGGTTCCTCGCAGAAATACTTCACACTTCTCAAGTGAATGGAGTCATACTTTCACCTACGAGTTAAAAACCCACAACAGTAGAAACCTAAAATGCTCCAGTGCTTTTTGTATTGTTTTTTAGAAAACAACACTGGCTGTGGAGGTTCCCTGCTATTCCAGGATCTTCTAAGTTACATTCGCATTTACTTTCATCAAGCTAATACAGTGGCAAAGACTGTCATCTCCCACACTGAGCTCTTCCCAACATGGTAAGATACATCATTAACAGGTATTATTTAAATACTTGACATTTTAGAGTTATTCTTAAACTTTCACGCAGTCTTTGACTCCACACACAACTACTCAAAGACTATAACCAGCTGTAAATAGGTATCTTAAACCTTCCTCCCTACAGGATGCATTCTTTCATTTTCTCAGTGGCCTGGTACTTATATATTTTCCAAAACCACAGCTTGCAGTCCAGATGATACTATCATAAACAGGTTGTGGTTTAGACTTTTGCCAGAAAATGTTATTTAATTCACTTGAAGAAAATTTTAACAGGCTTGTTTTCTTGCTGCACAAGTCTGTCCTGGACCAAACTGTCCCTATCCCCAGTACAGCAAAGACCCTTCTGAACACGGGCCCTGCACAACCCACATCCAATCACTGATGCTGCCATCCTTGAATTTTTAAGGGCTGATATTTTGTTCTGATGCAGAAGGAGGAAAAATTCTGACACCTCAACAGTCTTTGTAGAAGAAGAAAAGCCATTTCTTGCCCTTCAGTTGAACAACACATACCCAGGTTTCCATTTCTGGAAATCCCCCAGGGCAACAGCCATTTTCTATCATCTAATAGCTACAAAACAACTATAAAACGGTTTCCTTTGAAATTGCAGTAACAGCAGAGCCAACGTTTCCAAGCAGCTCTACCTATGGACCAGTCTCCTCTGAAAACAATTCTCTCTTTCACAGCCATCTCCGAGAAACAGCAACTCCGAGAAGAAAACACATTGGGACCATCGGGTAGGGAAGATGGCTGGAAGCCACCAGCAGCCTCACGGGGAGGGGGGCTGCCTCTTCCCCTCTTTTCTCCACACCTCACCTCTTCCATCCGTTCCCTGGTATGACTTGCACGGTCCCGTGTGTCCTGTCCCCGGGCTGCCCCCGCCCCATCGCTCTGTGATGCCGTTGTGTTCCATCCAGGGGAACACACGTGGCCCAACCTGCTGCCATCTCCTTCCTACGTGCCACCCAAAACAAGCGTGGGAAGGGACGGCAGCCCCCCATTCCACTGAGCAGAGAGCTGCAGCCTGATCCATGTTCATGTTTGCTCACACTTGTGTCAGCATTTATCGTTGCCATGCTCTGACAGAAGGGCAGTGATGACAGGGTGTTGACCGTAAGAACATGGAACTACATCAAAACATCACATTGAATTAGTTTACTGGTATTTAGAAAGTTTTCCCAGGAAAAAAAAAAAAAAGGGAAGTGGCAGAGAGGTGTCTTTTAATTAGCTAATGAGACAGCGTAGTTGATCTCTGAATTTCATATACCACTGAAGAGCAGCAGGTTTTCCCTATTCAACATACAACTGGGGATGTAACGAGTATCCACAGAAGAGGCACAGGAAGCCGTTAAAAAAAAAAAAGCCAAAACCAACTGATTTTCTTACTCGTTAAGCTTTAAGCAAAGGCTGTCTCCTAGCTCTCTTGGGACAGCTTATCTGTGTCACTGCTATCAATCTCACTGTAATACTTTGATGATGGGATGTATATCATAGCTTCATATTTTGTTAAGGTAAGAAAGGGCTAACAAGGCTTTCTGGCTTTGGGTCACCAGCTTACCTTCAAAGATAACCAGTAACAGAAATTCCTTTTATTTTTCCCTCTTCCCGGGAACGATTTTTGTCACTGGTGAACGACACGGGTGTTTCCAGTATTGCTCTACCCACGTTCCCAGTTGCTCATGGCATGTCCTTCCTACGCCTGGTCTCCCTCACGCCTGGCAGATTTGATTCACAGACCCTCATCCCAGTTCCTGCTCTACACCACTGCTCCCTTCCCACCACCTGCTGGGGCTCAGGGGACGTCCCTCCCCAGCCTCCACACGGCTGGAACAGCAGCCAGATGATATTGTTACTTAGAACAAATACTGTATTTTCTACCATGGGCTTAACAGAAGGACATACTGACTGATACTCTCGTGGGATGGAGGAGTCAGATGGTTCATGCAAACTTAGGGAAAGACCGAGCTAAGGCCACGGCAGAGGCTGAGGAATGACCACAAATATCTGTCTCGAAGAAACAAAATTCTATCAAATTTCTACAACAGATTTGTTCAGTTGCAGTAAGGGTGTGAGGGACGAGGAAGCTTCCTCCTGCCTAGCATCAACTTCCAACGGCAGCTTTTGTTTATAGTTAATTGTGGTTTTGGGAAAAAAAGATCAGAGGTTGCAAAGGCCATTACTCACATCTTCCAAAAAGGAAAAGCCAAAAGTTTCAGTCTCAGAAAATAAATAGCTTGACATTTTTCTTGACTTCAAAGTCAAGACTTGACTCTTGAACTCCTTCCCTTCAAGAAAGAGTTTTTCAGGTACTGTTCAAAACGCACTTTGTCCTCCTCTTCCTGCTCTGCAACACCCCTCAGCAATTGTTGGGGCTTAGTTTCTACTTCGATTACTACTACTATCACCATCTGTATCTCATACTTAGCACAAAACCAACAATATGGCAGCACGACCCATGGAAAACCACTGCCTGGATGATTTTTTTTTTTTTTAAATTAGCTTCTGGTGTAGTGCAACAACACGTGCTGACATATCTTCACCTTTCTACATGGTTAAACAGCACTGAGATATCTTTCACTATTACCAATGAAACAGTAATCAGCCCTATAACCCCAGCGTATCTTACCGTTCCTGCCCACTCCATCTGGGTTCTCTATGTCAGGACCTTGCTTCTTGATTTTCTTGGCATGCTCCTGGTTCTGGACTAAATATTCTCATCATCTGCTCTAAAAAAGCAAATACACAAAAAGAAATTAGAACCCTCAAAGGCTTAGCAGCTACAAATTTTTCAGAAGCTTTATGTTTACAGTGACGCCCTAGTGCACACAACAACGGTGTTTTCTAGAGTTAATTTCACACACTTACATTCTGGCCCCACTGTAGCTGATATGAAGGAATCGTGTCTCGATTTCACTCCGTTAACGACAAGTATAAGCACAGCCAACAATTTATTTAGAGTGAGAGCACCAAATTAGATATGTTGGAAAATACACTGAGAACAGTAGACAGAAGGAAGGTACCAAGTAATGTGTTTTCCTTATACAGGACATGGTATTATCCTAACATGGTCAGGCTACTTCTTGAAACCAACTTGTTGTTTTTTTTCCTTTGTCACCACACTTTTCCAACACCTTTCCTGAAGGACATTTATGATTTTTTTCTACTAGTGTGAAAAAGGTAATTTGTGAAAGTTGTAGTTTTTAGACAGGCTTCTCACAGAATTCTAGCTGCAAGACTAAGTAGTACTCATGCCAGGAAGACGTACAGAAATACGTGCAGTGTTAACTACTCCCAGCCTTACATACATCCCCCAACCCTATTTGTCCCTTTTGGGCTTAGAAGGGCTGCAGGCCCTAGTCAGTGCAACACTGAGCAGGAGGAAACACTCCCCACTACCACACACACCCATCACACAGGGGCCACATTATTTTGTTAACAACTGAGTCACACAAGTATCATGGTTGTAAAAATTAACCGTGGTTTTAAGTGTTTGTCAGGAAACAAAAAGTTTCCTAAGTTTTACTTACAATTTTCTCCTAACAGTTTTCCTATTACATGCACTGAATTTGGTCACATTTTCACAACATCTGAGGCTCCTCAAATTGAGAAGGATTTCTAGAGGAGCCTGACTTACTTACAGATCAGCTGTTGCTGTTACTTGGCTAAGAATACAGCATGAAAAAGGTGCACGTACATCTCAAATAACTGCCCGATACCTCACAGCAACAGAAGGGGATGCAGTCAGGCATCCAAGAAGCAGCTCCTAATTCAAAACAAACATTGTAAAGAGCTTTAAGATATTTTGTCTCATTTATTCATTAACCCCATCACATGTTTGCCTACTATGAGAGCTTTCACTTTTATCTCCCACCAAGTTTCTGGTGTTAGCCAAAAGGCTGACAACTGCTTTGATCCAGCATGGCAAATTCTACTTTTTCCACACAAAAAGTTACTTTAGTTCACCCAAACAACCTTCCAGACTCAAACGGACAGCAGAAGTCTGTAAACAAGAATAACTTTATTTTAGATTCTTTAAAGATTTAATGATATACAAAATGTATACAGTATTATATCCTTATAACATTTTACCTTTCCCCGTCAAACATAAAACACCATTTAAACAGCTATTGTGTTCGTGCCTTAGGTCTGTATCTATAAGATACACTACTGAATAAAAAAATTATAGAGCTATATACTGCCCTTTTAATTAAAAATTACAAATTAGTACCTATGTAACAAAAAAAAAAATCGCAGCATGAAACTTCAGTTGGACAACAGGTTTTTTTTTTTCTTGCTGAATGCTCAACAATATTTGGGACAGTTAAATTACATTTTATTGGCATGAGGGTGCATTGCAATCTCCCGTACTTTACATAATGCTAATCCAACCCTAGTCTCTCTTAAATAAGTACCACAAATAACATAACATTAAAGATGTTTTCTACACAATTTTAAATACATTTAAAAGTTACGTGTACATTCTGGTTTGATATACTGGTTTTACGAGATCTTTGGAAGGCATAACTTCTGAAGCAGTCACTACGTACGAGGAAAAGCACTTCCAACTTGTGTTCTTACAAGGCAACTTATTTGGACCAGTACATACTATTTCTTCTATTAAATACGATTATACCAGTCTATCATGGCTTTGTTACTATTTGACAGTGACTTGATAAAATTGAAATGTATAAAACAAGAAATTTCATTATGCACAATTAGGGCTCTATTCCACCAAAAAACC